ACTGTATTGCTAATGATTCAAGCGGTTGCTTCACCAGCTTTTTACCACCTGCCGCCTGTCGCCATCATTAAAAACGCATCAATCAATGAAATCAATGCACAGGAAACAGAAACAATCAGAGAAAATGACGACCAAGCAGCGCAGAGTTAGCTGTAAACGCATTAGTTCGAAGGATGAATTAGTAGCCTAATTACCACAAATCATCAGCAACAATAACAACAACAACAACAACAACAACAACAACAATAACAATAACATAATCATCATCATCATCATCACAGTAAGAATCATTATCATAATCGTGCCTTTGTTTTAATGCACCAAATTGAACGCCTTTATGTGGCTTCATACCACATCCAATGAAGTGTGGAAGATTTATTACCCTTTCCGGCAAACTACAGATGTACGAAATAAAGAAATTCGATCTGAAACCACAACTGGTTAAAAATACAGGTTTAAAGGGTCTAAAATGTGTCCAAGATAAAAAAGCATAAGCCGAGTCCTTAACCAAGCTAGTCAGATAAAGAAGAATCGACTTTATATTTAAACTAAAATTTATATTTTTCAAAAATGTATTTGATTAAAAAAACTTGGTTAGTTCCGGACATTGCTCTTACGATATCTTCACTACTCTGAATATGAAAAGTTAGCTAACTTTTAATAAATAAACATATGTAAATAGGTATAACAAACTCAATTCAATTAGTTCGCTCCGGATATCTGTTGAAAAAAGGGTTTTAATAGAATATATTAATTTACGACAGATTCTCTTTATTGGAAATACGAGCCACTCAAGATTACTTTAACAGTACAATGTTTTTTATTCAGCAACTCAATTCCCGCCCGATGATTCCATACCGAAGTACAAAGAAACATAAGAATAAAGTCGAATATGCCAATATCCACTGAGCTCGTCGTCCTGATCCAAATATATATACGCAGCATACGTGAATGCTTCATTCTGCCAAAGCTGACATAAAAAAAAAAAGCTTTGTGGATTTTATTATGCGCTGGTTTTTTGCTTTGCGGAGACTTCGGAGATAAAAGTGAAAAGCCACTGACTCTATGGGTCTCCGTTCGGCTCGGTTATCTGCCGTTTGACGTTCTGTTGCCAATTGCAATTTATCTGCACATTTTATTTGGTTTGCCATTTCTTTTGTTGTTTGGGTTGTGTATACATATGTTCCCATATGTACAAATACTTAAAGCCAACAGCAACTGTTGAGCTCTTTTGTGAACAATTTCACTACAGCTCTTTAATCTAAGATTAAACTTAAAGTGTTTACAAGTTTGCTGCCAAGCTAGTTTCGTTCTCCCATACAAAAATGCATCTACACATTTTATTGTTTTCTTACGCCAATTTGCATTATTCGCCACATATTGTTTTCGTTAAATTATAGACATTTTCTGTTTTGTTTTTTTTGTACCCTGAACTCATTGAAAAAATCGGTTAAAGAAACGTACAATGGTGCGAACGTGTGTTACAGGCAGAAGGAGGTATCTTCGATGCTATTCAGTAAATATATTCCTGATCAGCATCAACAGCCGAGTCGACTGAGCCATGCCTGTATGTATGAGCGCGTCGATCTCGGAAACGAGAAGAGCTAAGGACTTGAAATTATGAGCGTAGGTCCTACAAGTGCCCGCTTCTATGAAAACGTTAAAAATGATCTCGGTGTTTATAAGAACGGGAGGCATCCATTTTGTTTTTCCTTGTTTTCATCAAATTTGTAAGAAGCTAATTTTCTGAAATCCAATATTGAGCTTTGCGCTTTTCATACATTTTTACGGTGTACATATATATGCTTTAATAAGTTCATAAAGATCGGATAATAAACACCGAAGTAAGTACGAAACACAACCGCAGCGAAAACTGACAATTTAACAGAGGATGTGTGTGTGTGTGATTTGCATATGTATGCGTAGGAGGAAGCTAGAATGCGTTTGATGGTAGCTCAGCGCGGGTTTTAGGGAATCTCCAGGTCGGACGCTCCCGACTAGAGCACTCATCTTTGTTTTAGCTTGGTTTTGTCGTAAGGTCCCTTGCCCTTACATAATCCTTACACGCAGGATATTCTCTTTACCTCGCTCCATTCGAAAATCATTTATTTTCAAAGAAGCATTTAGCCCAGATTTAATTCTGCCCACGAACACTTTTTAATTCATAACTGAATGACGCGGTTGCTTGGCAGCTAAAACTCTGGAAAAGCGAATGCTCCACTACTTTGGAGCAATCCCAATTAAATGGGAATTTTGTTTTTTCTGTAACAAGGGTTTCAAGTGTTTCACAGGAATCACTATGGCCAAGATCCAATTCATTTTAATTTGCTTCAAAATATAAGCTAGTGCATTGCTCTTCAAAGTAACAATTGCAATTTAAATTGCATTTTTAAAGCTTAAAGCATTTAACGAGGCCCACTTTTACTTGAAATTTCTCTAGGAGCCGAGAAGTGCAGTTTTGAGAAATATTCTTACCAAGCTGCAAGCGCAAAAAAAAAATGTTAGGTGGTTCAGTTCACGGTTCGAACCAATGCCTCGTCCTCAGTTTTCCACAGAAATAAACGCAATTCATTAGCAGAAACTTATCTGAATGGGAATATCTGTAGAAATATTCGGTGCAATAGATATTCTGACCTAAGTTGCATAATTGGTTCAAGGTTTGAAGCAAATGAATTTGTTATATGTATATATTTTTATTTACCAAAAATTAGTTAATCTTTCATTGTTCATTGTCATGAAACTATTCTGAACGCAATGCTGAAAATGCAATGCTTTAGGCTAAGGTTCGGCTGTTTCTTGCACAACTAACCCGGTATATATATATATATTATATTTTGTAAGCTATCTTGACCAAAATGAATGAAAGGCTACGACTGGACTATCTATATGTCGCTTTGTGTTCTTAAGCTGTTGCCAAGTTTATCTATACCTAAAAAGTGATTTTATGTGAAATACAACTAGAATTATATGATAAGACCCTATCAGTATATTTATCTAGCTGTAATGCTGATGTATAATATATAATTGAAAGTCTTTTGATTGTGTTTTTCGTATACACCGCTCACTTTTGGGTTTCTACAACTTGGCGGTCGCGTGTGGCGTTTCTCCATTGTCCAGTGCTGGCTGCTCCGTTAGCGCATGAAAATGTAAATTTGTTTAACAAGGGAATGCCAGCAATGTGTGCATAACTGACCCGCCTTTCCGCTGGCGCGCCAATCCGCCAATCCGCCAGCTTGGCAATCCCCGCAAGCCTGGAGCTACCGCAAACATCCTGTGGATAACCTCTGGATTGAGTGGGGCACGCTGGCTGGGACGTGGACAGGTTTAACCCACTTGAAACTAGCACTGGCGACTGGCGACTGGCAACTGGCAACTGGCAGAGGGCTTTGCGGTGCTGCATAAATCATGCGCCAAAAACGCAAAGTCCTGCCCCACAGGATGCGAGGATATGCGATGTGGGCCACACGGTAGCCAAATGAATTTGTAAACAGGTGCAAATTAGGTCAATATTTGTGACACGGTGTGGCAACAGCTGTTCGTAAAGGTAAAGACGCCTCTGTTTACCTCTCTCTCTCTTTCTCCCTCTCTCCATCTCTCCCTCACTCACTAGATGAAAGCGCGTGAGTGCATGCGTGTGTGAGTGTGTCCCATACATAAACATGCGACATGAGACGACGACGTCACTGACCCAAAATTCAAATACTTATGCGGGACCCAAGAAAGACGAACTCTACCAGGCAGCCCCCAACATATTGTTGTTGCTTTCCTTGTTTTTGTTTTTGTTCTTGTTCTTGTTCAGTGGGAAGAGCTGTGCTACTTGCAACTTGACAAAACTGACTCTAACTTCAAGTATTTGTGTTCTAGTCATTTCTCATAATTATATTAGAAATATTCGGAATAACTTCAGTAACTATTTTAAGCTAGCACAAAATGTTCGTAAACATAAAGTAAGTTTAGCCCCCAAAATAATTCTCTAAATTGCTCATTTTTGCTTTCACTACTATTTTCATACGATTTTCCACACATTTGCCTCCCTCAAAAATTTCTATTTACCCGTACAAGATTGAAAGAAAGTTTGAGATAAATAAATTTTAATTCGATCAAACAATTAATTTACTTTTACTTATCCAATCTTGAACTTCCATTTAAACCAAAGGGGGTGGGTATGTATGTGGATTTTCCGAGCACTGTGAAATACGTCATGAATAAATGCCGAGAAAGATCTTTGAAAATAAGTTGAAAGCTTTTTCAAACTGGGCTGTGGATTAATCGTCAATTATTCTACTGGCTCGAGGTTAAATATTCTTTTACTTAGTGCATATATGTACATACATCCAGCTATTTATCTTATTTATCATATCATATATCTTAACAGACTTCAGCTCAACATGGAGTAATACTCCATAAGAGTAATTGAAAAATTTACTTAAATCTAGATTTTATAAATTTAGCCTGACGGCTAAATTATGTATGCATTATACTTATAATTATATGAAAGCTATTTTGACAAGTGTTTCAATTATTATTAATTAATTTTGAATTGAAATTTGTAGTGCAAAACATGTAAGAAAATTGTCAGATGTGCCCAAAGAGCTAAATACTCTGATCTAATAATTACAGTTACAATCAGGTGAGACAAGGTGGTAAAATATATAAATTTGTTGACCCTGGCGTTAAAATTAAAGAAGGTGCATACGTATTTCATTTAATTTTCGGGCCAGCCAGAAATTAATGTTAGCAAAATAAAGTACTTGATGAAATTGAATTTTGTAACTTTTGCGTCCGTTAAGTTCATCATCTTGCCTCGCTTGGTTTATACTTTGGCTTTCTCACTCGCACTCACGCACCGCTTTCTCGCTCTCTCGCTGCCTTTAAGTGCATATTTTAATAGCAAGTTGTTTTTGGTTATAGGGAGTGGGAAACTCGATTTTAAATTCATTAGTATAAATTGTATGCCCCAAGATAGTTGCAACTACCACAAAATTTATTACCAAACTTACCTCAGACATTTTGCGTTGTGTGGCGGGCAACTTTGTTCGCTTCCTTTTTGTTATTGTTGTTGTTGCTGTTGCTGTTGTAGTAACTGTTGTTGCTTTATTGATAGTTCAATTAGTCAGCGCGTCTTAGCCACAAGCGGTGGCAGTTCCTGCTGCTGCTGATGCAACATGCTACAGTAGCACTTTGGCGGCACATGGCGTATGAGTAATATGCAGGATATTTGATGCGAGTTCGTTGCTGCTGCTGTCGTTGCTGTTGCTGCAAGGAATCGGCGTGCAACAAGTGGCACGGCATATTCCCAGCTGCTGTCTGCCTCATCGCCGCCACATGGCTGTAAAACACACAAAACAAAAAAAAACACACCAAGAGATTAGTGAATGCACATGGCCTGGGCCGAGACATTAATCAAACAATCAGTCATGCAAAGCTTGCAAGAGGGGCTAGCGGGTAACGAGGCGTGCGTGCGGGGGAAGGGATGGGTTTACAGTAACGGGTGACAGGTAGCAGGTAGCAGCCGTTAGCAGGCCAAGTTGTCGACCTTACGGCCCGTCGAGTTCAAGAATCTGTTGGGTGATAAATTTCGCACGGCGTCGACGTCAGCGTCAGCGTCAGCGTCACTGTCGACGTCGACGTCAACGCCAACGTCGCAACGTCAATAGCAACGGCGGCAGCTGGTCTGGTCTGGTCTGGTCGGTTTGGTTTGCTTGTGCCGCCGTTCCAGTTCATGTTTTTTTTTGTTTCTGATGTTGCTCTGAATCTGTGCGTCGCTTTTGGCATGTGCCCACGGTTGCCACAGTGGTACAAATGTACCAAAAACTGGTAAATTATTTATCCTAAAGTAATTTATTTTTTAGCCAGAACCAATTGAAAGTGGGTAGAAAGTGGAGGTAATTTGGTGTTGCACAAATGTATGTAACAGGCAGAAGGAAGCGTCGCCGACTCCTCGCACGGCATATATACCTGACCAGAGTGATAAGCTGATATATATATATATATATATATATTATCGTATACCAAACGCAGAACTAATTTATCATTTTGTTTTTATATTATAATTTCACTGAAATTCTCTTAAAAATGGATAAAGATATTTTATATAGAGATTAAACATATTTCACGTTTGGAAAACATCCCCCAGCCTTAAACTGAAAATACTTATTTTTAAAGGTAAAGTAACGGTATAAACTTTACATTCATATGAGTGTCATTTTTAGGCGCTGAAAATATCATAAGATTCTTCAGCTCGACGTATTCTTACATATGCATGAACAGACTTATAAACGTTATCCTTTTTATGCAAAGCTAGAAATAATATGCGTTTGAACAACTTGTATTTCAAAATGTATTCGTATTAACAAAAAGGGTTCAAACGAATTTGCTGCACTTTTTGGTAAGTTTTTGTTCAAAAATATATTTTTTCAGACGCAATCCAGTTTGAGTGTTTGCTAATCAAACATTTATGTGAAACGCATCGTTTTGCTTTGATTAACTTTGATTTATGCCGTCAACAAAACATTTTATTAGTATTTAATTGTCAAAAGCATCGTTTGGTTAACTCCTTCTTACACCTCTAATATAATGTTGCTTAACATGTACCATGAACTATCATGAAATGCTTAGCGCATTAAAGAAGACTTCTTCGACCCCATATCATGCCCATCTACACTTATTGTACAAACTAGTCTCTGAAACATCAATTCGTCTAAGGATCATTATATGTTTATGTGTGCAAAACTGTATATTCTTCCGGATATCTTAACCAAACTCAGCAGCTACGAGCCATTCACAACACGTTAGCAACAATTAATTAACATCAGACTATTATATTATGCAGCACCTACTGAAACAGTGAGGCGAAAATTGGGTGTTTATCTAGAAAAGACAGTTGTGTGTACATATAATAAACACATCTTAATTATGCTATGCATATGCAAGGGTATTGCATATTTTTTATTTCTGTTCTTATTGTGCTCTTTAGTTGTTAACTTTCATTAAATGACAAAATTGTTTTTTGCAAACTGTATATTCCACTGTGAAATGAAATATTAAACAATGGCCTCAGTGGGAGAGAGGTTAAGGTTGTGTGTGTGTGTATTCGTGTGTGTGTGTGTGTGTGTGTGTGTGTGTGTAATACAGTGAAACATAATCAGCATAATAAGCATAGCAATGATAATCAGCGAGAATAATGTACATTAACAACATCATTGCTGTTGCGCTTCCGCTTAAAGCGAGACGCCCAACCACAGACCTGAGGCGCGTACACACGCAGCACGCAAGAGAAAGAGAGGGAGAGAAAGTTAGAGAGAGAGAGAGAGATAGAAAGAGAGCAAGCGAGCAAGTGAGAGATAGTTATGCTCAATGACACTTGCACAGCGCCAATCAGCGAGTGCGCGCGGGCAGCAAATAAATTGAAACAACAGTCGAAATTGGAAATGAGATGATTGTTATGGAAATGATAATAATGATGATGATAATCAATAGGTAATATATGAATGTTGGCTGTTGCTGTTGACTCTGTAGTTAATGTTAATGCTTCTGCAAATGCAAACAGCTCAGATGCCGGACATTCGATGCAGGCCGGCAACCGCAACTTATAATAACACAAGCAGAACATTATAATACTAGAGTCTGCCAGCTGGTTAAGGATCATTGCTAATTTGACATGCTCTTTGCCATGCTCTTTAAGCGCAATCTTGAGAAGTGTTAAGAAAATGTAATGAATAAACAAACATTTGCCGGTAACCGCAACTTATAATAACACAAGAAGCAAATTTTAATACTAGAGCTTGCCAGCTGGTTAAGACTCATTGCTAATTTGACATGCTCTTTGGGAAAGAGCTTTTCGTTTGCCATACACAAAACTAGTTTTTTTTACATCCCAAGCCGATAGTAATCGATTGAAAGTTTTTACTTTTGTTTTAACGAATCTATTCAATTTGTGGATACTTCTCTCTCTGCTCCTCGGTAATTTTGGAAATTAATTTTTTATTTTATTTAAAGATTATACAAGCTTTTAGTGACAATGAAAGTTAAGTTTCAGTTTGTCTTATTTAACTTAACTGACCTAATGCAATTAATCTTAAGCTGAAAAGCTTACATTTGCTGTTAAGACTGATGTATTAAGAATCTTTATAAAAGCTGCTTTACTGCCAAGACCTACTGCATATATCTTTGGTCACTTTAACATACTATTAAGCTGACTTAAAAGCTTTAATGAGCTTTTAATGACAATGAAAGTTAAGTTACAGCTAAAGACTTATTTAACTTAACTGAGCCAACGCAATTAATCTCAAGCAGAAAAGCTTACATTTACTGTTATAGTTGATGTCTTAAGAAGCTTTCTAAAAGCTGTTACACTGCTACATAGTATAGAATTTGCTATCATATATAGACTTTGAGAATGTCAAAAGCGTGTAATTTACTCCCAAGGCATACTGCATACATCTTTTGTCACTCCAACGTACTATTAAGCTGTCTTAAAAGCTTTAATGAGCTTTTAATGACAATGAAAGTTAAGTTTCACCTTAAGTCTTCATCCACTTATCTGGCACAATGCAGTGAATTCCAAGCTGAAGAGCTTACATTTGCTGTTAAAGTTGTTTGCACATCTGTTCTGCTGGTGACAAGGGGCAACGGGATGGGCTGTCTTAAAAAGCTTCCCAAAAGCTTTGTATTACTGCTTCACAACATAGAATTTGTGTTTGCCAAGATTAAAGCTAATTATAAGAATGTCAAAAGCGTGTACATTAAATCCCAAAGTCTACTGCATATATATTTGTTTAGTGGCGATTTAACCAACTGTTTAGCATTCCAGAGGCGACTTGGTGTCTTTCATCTTGCCGGTGTATGCCATGTGTGACGGTAACAAGTCGTGCTCTGGAAATGAGCGTTTTTGTGTTAATCGTCTTAATCAAGTTGATGGTCTGGTCGATTGTTAGTTAGTTGTTGCCTCTGGGACAAAAAGTTGCTTTAATACGCGCCATAGTTGGTAGCAAATTCGTTTGTTTGTCCAATTCGGAGGCGACGTTGCATTTTGATAATGCATTATGCATGGGCGCATGAGGCGTATGCGTGATATTCGCAATATTCGCTATGTCAATAGCAAATGATTATGGGATTATGATAATTATAGTTGGAAAATGCATTTCGCGGTCCGAACGTAATCAGAATTTTCGGGAGTGCAGGGCATTTTCCAAGAAACGTTTCTACCCTGAAATAATTTCGAATTGAAACTCTGGACAGTCGTTCGAATATTTTGTGAAGCTTGAAATTTGAATGTCGCCACATGTCAAATAAGTCTGTGTGTGAGTGTGTGTGTATATTTGTGTCGATGTCATTTGACGCAAAAAACGACGAAATTTGAGCAAATGAATAACGAAACCTTAGCCGAGAGTCAAGTCAAGAAATCAACGGAACTGTGAGAGAAAAGAGCAGCGACAAGCTCAGAGACAAATGGCGAAATCACATTCCTCACAATTTTATGCTGCTTTTTTGTTGTTGTTTGTCTGTTTATTTTTATTTTTTGTTTCTTTGCTCTTGTCATGCAACAAACTGTAACAATCACAAAGCCAATGATTAAATGCTGCTTAGCTCTCGACCATACCATAATACTTTGAGATTCAACTAACTAATGAACTCATCAAATGGCTAAAAACATCAAATATTCTAAGCAAGTGTGGATCAAAGGCATATGTAAATACATACATATATGGCTAAGAAACTTTTATATAGCAAAGCTTGGTCAAGATATTTTGGAAACAGAAAAGTTTTCTATAAGAAAAAACTCATTATTTGACCGATTATTGCTGATGTTGTCTTGTCATTAGCTCATGGGAAAGAAAAGTGTCTACTTTATTCAAGTTATCTTAAAAAGCAAAATACATTTGTTACATGGCAGTGCTTGACAAGTATACAAGTATAATATGAATAAATTGTGAAATCAATATTGGATAGCAAACTTCAATGAAAAAGTATATAAAAACATGCTTCGTCTATGCGATATGCATTTTGTGACAAAATTGTTATCCAGTTTTCAAGGGTATTTAAATTACACACATATGATTGGACTTCTTAGGAATTGAACATTCAGCCTTGATGCGCATATTCATGTTAACATCAGTTTCACTATTTTTCTCCACATTCAACATTTTCCACTCTCACTTCCATCCAAAGTAATGAAAAATCAAGCTGTTTGTGGACGGTACGCTTGATTTGCCTTAAAGATACTTTAAGAGAGAACATTGAATGTTATTAAAATTGTATACAGTCTCTCTATGAGAATATGCACAGGCAACTATCGCCACTCTATTTAACAGACTGTTCATTAATCTC